GCCCCGGCCTCGGCCCCCGGTCGCACTCACAGGGCAAGAACACCTTTGCCCAGGTCCGCTGCCAGAGCATCCTCGGCATCGAGGAGCTGGTGATGGTCCTCACGCATCCGCTGGCCACGATGCCGGTGAAGCACGCCTACGTGACCTTCCTGACGGCGGTCTACATCAACTCGGACATCGACACCAAGGAGTGGATCGCCGGGCCGCTGCTGTGGAGCCTGCTGTCCAGCGTCACCGGGGATCTGGCCGGGTGCAATCGCGGCCGCTGGGCCGCGGCCGAGTTGACCTCCTACTGCTCGTCGTCCATGATGCACTGTCTGGGGGCGCTGTTTTGCTCGCCGGCCGGGGCGGCCGCCGGGCCGCCGCTGCACCACCAGATCCATGTGTTCCCCCACTCGGCGCAGCATGCGGTCTTGCAGTCGCTCCTGTCCGGGCTCATCGGGCTGACCGAGTGTGACTGGCTGTCGGTCAAGGCCCGCGTGGACCTGGAGGCCACCCTGCGCTTGGTGTATGACTTCTTCACGGCCCGGCGCCTGTCGGTCAAGTCCGGCCTGCGCTCGGCCCTGCAGTTGGTCCTGTCGCACCGGGCGGCCCCGGGAGCGGTGGCCATGGCCCCGACGGCCGCGGCCCCGCGGGAGTCCCCGGACGCCGGCCCCGGCCCCGGCCCCGGCCCCGGCAACAAGGCCATGGGCATGCTGCTGGAGAGCGTGCGCCGGCGCCGGCTCAAGGAGCAGCGCCGGCCCCGGGCCCCGCGCGACACCACCCTCCTGGCCGCGGTGCGGGCCATCAACCGGCACTTTGCGGCCTTCGTCCAGCACCAGAATGCGGACCTGCATCGGCCGCTGATCGCCGCGCAGCAGGCCGTCCTGGTGGAGCTCTTCCACTCGCCGGCCTTCCTGGGGACCAGTCTCTTTGTGGAGCGCCAGTCGACCGGGTCGCGCTTGACCAAGGCCGGTGCGCGGCTGGGCCTGGCATCCGGCCGGCATGCGAGCTCGTCGTCGGCCGGCGATGGCCACCGCAAGGGCCGGCCCGCGGCCGCCGACCCGTCCCATGGCGCCGGCCACAAGGGGGATGGCGATGGCGATGACGATGACGACGACGAGGAGGAGGAGGAGGAGGAGGACGAGGCCCACGAGCCGGAGCAGCATGGCCATGCCCCGGCCCGGGCCGGCGGGCTGTCCTCGCACTCGGCCGTGGACCCGTGCCAGCTGGTGGCCAAGATCATCGCCCACATCCGGTCGGATCATGGGCAGCTGGTCCGGGCGGATGTCCTGCGCGTGGTGCTGAAGCTGCTGGTGCCGCCGCGGCTGTGTGCCGTGGCCGCGGCGTACGCCTGCCGGCAGCTGGACCTGCTGTTCGGCTCGCGGGTGGGCGATGGCCGCGGCTTGGAGGCCTTTGTCCCGGCGGCGGGCGGCGGGTCGCCGGTCCTCGGGTCGCCGGGGCCCGGGTCCTCGCCGACCGTGGCCGTGGACATGTCGGCGCTGGGCCGGTCGGGCGGCCGGCGGTCGCGGCCGGCCGCCTCGCGCCCCGGCCCGGCGCATGTCCTCATGCAGCCGCTGAGCCTGACCCAAGTGCAATTGGCGCTCAACCATTGCGGCGTGCCGGGGCTCATTGTGGACCTGGTGGCCGTGCAGGTGCGTCTGTTCGGCGACCAGGCCGACCTGCAATCCGGCGCCGGGGGGTCCTCCGGTGCCGGTGGGCCCGGCGGGGCTGGTGGCGGGTCCAGCGGGGCCGGCGGGCCCCCCGGCGGGCCCGGTGCCGGCGGCGATTCCGGCTCCGGGGCCAGCCGGCTGTCGCTCAAATCCCCGGCCCTCACCTTCTGGGACATTGCCCGGCTGGGCATCGCCATCCTGGAGGGGGGCAATTCGGCGGTCCAGCAGGCCATCTACCGGCGGCTGTCCGGGGAGTTGCTGCTGTCGGCCACCGGGGCCGTGGTGTCGGGCGGGCCGGATTCCGCCGGCGTCGGCGGGCCCGGGGGCCCGGGTCGCGAGCAGGTGCCCCCCTCGGTGGGGGACTTCCCGCTGCGGGTGGCCACCTCGGCCCGGGTGGCGCCGCCGCCCTCCGGGCCGAGCCTGCTGGATGCGGCCGGCTCGGCCGGGGACTTCTTCCAGGTGCTCGGGGGGTTCATGCGGGCGGCCATCTTCGATCTGGACCTGACCGGGGCCCGGTCCCTGCCGGCCGGGCCCGGGGGCGTGTCCCTGCCGGCCAGCGCGCCGGTCGGCCTGTCCCTCAGCAGCCTGTCCTCCCTGCGGTCCGGGGCGGTGTCCTTCTCGATGTTGGATTTGACCGATGCCTCGCTGGCCGACTCGCCGGATGCCGGGCTCTTGGCGGATGCCGGGGCCGATGGGGCGTCGGCCGGCGGGTCGGCCGGGGGTGCCGGCGGCCTGGCCGGTGCCCCGGGGGACCGGCGCACCGTCAGCGGCACGCGGTCCTCGGTGCCGGCCGAAACCCGCAACATCGAGCTGGTGCTGCGCTTCCTGCAGCTCCTGTGCGAGAACCACACGCGGAACTTGCAGTGCCTGCTCCAGCGCTACGGCCTGGTCCGGCTGACGGCCGATCTCTTCACCACCCTTTGCACCTACAGCACCGGGTCCTTCGGGGTGCTGGGGTTCATCTCCAATGACAGCCGGCTGGCCTTGGTCAACCAGGTGCTCAACACGCTGACCGAGTTCTGCCAGGGCCCGTGCCAGGAGAACCAGGTGCGTCATCGGGCCTTTCGCGCGGTCCCCCCCCCCCCCCCCCCCACCCGCCCCCCAGTCACCTTGTCCCCCCCCATGCCGTCTTCGTCCCCCGCCCCGCCCGTTCCTCGCCCTGGGCCCCAGGCGCGCCGGGAGATCCGCCGGGTGGGAAAAAAACGGCACCCGATACACCTCCGTGTGCGTGTCGGCGAGACGACCGCGCCGGACGGAGGGGGGCCCCGCCCCGGCAACCACCAGCCAAGGGGCCGTCCGGCGGACCATCGCCGCCAATGGGCATGGAGTTAGCCAGCCGACCCGGGAGATGAGATGAGCGGGCGGGCCGCAGGGCACACGGGGAGGGGGAGGAGCAGGGGCAGGAGGAGGACATGCACGAAAGAGAGGCGGAAAGGGGGCGCCCCCCCCCCCCCCCCCCCCCCCCCTGCCCCGGGGGCCTTTCCTGTGTCTTTCCTTCTCGCTGTCCCGGGTCACGATGTGGCCCAAGTGCATGCGGCCACTAGCGTGCTTCATCTTGTCCGGGCTCCTTGGCTGACTCTGTCCTCTCTCTCTCTCTCTCTCCCTCTCTCTCTCTCTCTCTCCCTCTCTCCCTCTCTCTCTCTCTCTCTCTCTCTCTCTCTCGCGCTTTCATGTGTGGATTGCTGTGCATTTGTGTGCATTACTGTGCATTTGTGCGGATGGCTGCGCATCAATGTGCACTTGCCCGGTTGTCCCTGTTCCTGTGTTCATTTGGTTGCGACCCCCGGGCCTCCTGCCGCCTCGGTCCCCGTGTCCGCGTGCGCCCGGTTGCCCCGCTCGACACAGCTCACCATCGCCACGTACGATAGCCCCGCCTTTGAGATCGCCAACAACATCATCACCAGCTGCCCGGATGCCCTGCCGGCCGACCGGCAGGTGGCCCTGCTCCAGGTGAAGGCCAATGTGCTGAACTTCCTGCTGTCGACCATCGAGAGCCGCAAGACGGCCTTGGTGGCGGTCGGCGGCCCGGGCGGGGCACGCGGCGCCGGGAGCCCCACCAGCGCCGCTCCCCCGGCCCCGACCACGCTGGCCGAGCTGGCGGCCATCTTCACCGGGGAGCTCTACTCCGAGGACCCGGTGGTCAGCAAGCTGCTGTTCTACATCGACCTGCCGGCCTTCACCCGGACGCTGGGCGGGATGTTCGAGCTGTACCAGCTGTGCACACGGCTGCTGGGGTCGGCCCTGTTGCATGCCGGCGGGCAGGCCCTGTCGGGCGAGGATGCGCCCAAGTCCGGGGCCCAGCCGGCCGCCGGGGGCTCCTCCTCCTGCTCCTCCTCCTCCTCCCCCCTGGGGGACAAGGCCACCGGCGACAAGTCCGGTCCCGATGGCAAGCCCACCGACAAGATGGATGACGAGGCCCACGGGGCCGGGTCCTCCTCGGCGCGCATCATGTCCCAGCGCCTGCAGCAGCTGCAGCAATCGTCGTCCGCCAACTTGATGGTGCATGCGGATGATCTGGAGCTTCCGGCCCAGCCGGCCTCGGCGTCGGAGATCTCCGCCCTGGCCGGGATGCTGGGGCTGGGGGCCGAATCGCGCGAGTCGCGGCTGCTGTCCTCGGCCTCGGCCGATCTGATCCGGGCCATCCAGCTGAACAGCCGCCAGGCCGCGCACCTGGTCTTCCTGCTGCTCTGCCATTTGCAGCCCGGCACGCCCGGCCGGCTGCCGCTGGCGGCGTCGCTGGCCGATGCGGCGGATGCCGGGGCCGGGGCCCGGCCGCTGGCCGACCTCTCAGCCAGCGAGTACTTCGCGCGGAACACCGGGTATGTGGGGGCCATCTCTGGGGCTTTGTTTTTGTTCCCCCTTTGCCATCTGTCTGTGTATCTGACTCTCTGTCTGTCTGCTTGTCTGTCTGCTTGTCTGTCTGCTTGTCTGTCTGCTTGTCTGTCTGCTCGTTTGTTTGCTTGTCTGTCTGCTTGTCTGTCTGCTCGTTTGTTTGCTTGTCTGTCTGCTCGTTTGTCTGTCCGCCTCCTTTTCCCCTCGCTTGTCCCCCCCTCCCCCTCACTCCCCCCCTCCCTCCCCCCCCCCCATCGCAGATCCATCGAGATCGTGGTGCACAACGAGCTGGAGCGCGTGTACTTCCCCATCCCGCCGGTGTGCCGGTTCATCACCGAGGAGTCGCGGCTGCATGTGCTGAACAAGACCGAGCGCGATGAGCAGGGCAGCAAGGTGCCGGACTTCTACCGGCAAATTGACACCCTGTACCATGAGATGCTGTGGCAGAACCAGCTCCGGAAGAGCCCGGTGCTGTTTGGCTTCGCGCGGAACTTCGTCAACTGGAAGCACATTGCCTTCGGCCTGGCGGTGGTCATCAACCTGCTGCTGGCCTCCTTCTACCCGATTGATGCCCTGTCGCCGGGGGTCGGAACGGCGGCCTGGTGGCTGCTGACCGTCCTGGGCGGGGTGCAAATCCTGAATGCGGCCATCGTGCTGGTCAGCTACCTGATCAATTACGGCGCGCTGCTCATGCGGCAGGGGCGCCTCTTCCGGAATCTGCTGCTCGGCTACCACTTCTTCTATTTGCTGCTGTGTGTGCTGGGCTTCACGGTGCATCCCTTCTTCTATGGGCCGCTGCTGTTTGACATTGTCGTGCGCGATGAGACCCTGCGGAATGTCATCCGCTCGGTCACGCGCAACGGCCGGTCCATCCTGATGACGGCCTTCTTCGGGCTGATCATCGTGTACATGTTCTCCCTGGTGGCGTTTGTCGGCTTGCGCGATGACTTTGTCATTGAGCTCAGCGAGCAGGATGAAGAGCGCTCATGCGACACGCTGGTTGCCTGTCTGCTGACCTCGCTCAATCACGTACGTGTGTCTCCGGCCTTCCTCCCGGGCCGGTGGGGAAGGGGCCGGCGCCGGTGCCGGGCTTCCCGTGCTGGCTTGCTGGGTGGCTGTTCTGTGTGTGTGTGTGTGTGGGGGGGGGGGGGGAGCCTGTTGTTTTTTGTTTTTTTTTTTTGCGCCGCCTGCGTTCGCTGCTTTTGTTGCCTGCACCTCTTCGCCCTGGTGCTGCCCCCCATGCGGGCCGGACTCCCGGACACTGACGTATGCTTTTGCCGGTGACCTTTCCTCTCGTCCGCCTCCCCCTCGCGGGCCCTCCTTTTGCCGGGTCTTGGCCGCCCCTCGCTCCAGGGCCTGCGCAATGGCGGCGGCATTGGCGATGCGATCCAGCCGAACTCCCTGCAGAGCAGCTCCTTCCCCTACCGGTTCCTCTTTGACATGCTCTTCTTCTTCGTGGTGATCATCATCGTGCTGAACCTCATCTTTGGTGTGATCATCGACACCTTCGCGGACCTGCGTTCGGAGAAGTGCGTCCCGCTGCGGGCGGTGGTGCCCCCTGCCCTGCTGGGCTTGCATTTGTTGTGGCCACCGGCTCTGACACCCGCGCACCTTCCCCCCGCCCCCGCCCCCGCCCCCGCCCCCGCCCCCGCCCCCCTGTCATGGATGCGGCCCATGCGCCCCCCCACCGGGATGTGGCTGTTTTTGCCCACCGCGCGGCCGGGCCATTCGCGGTGCATTTCCCCACCCAGGAATGAGCAGGAGGAGATCCGTCGGAATACCTGCTTCATTTGCGGGCTTTCACGCAACAGCTTCGAGAACCGGTCTCTCACCTTCGAGGCGCACACCCTGCAGGACCACAACCTGTGGAACTACCTGTACTTTGTGGTTCACCTGTGGACCAAGGACTCCACCGAGTACACCGGCCCGGAGAGCTATGTCTTCGAGCGCCTGCAGCACTCGGCCAAGGGCGGCGGGGCCGATGCCCAGGGGCGCCACCACCTGGACTGGGTGCCCCGGCTGCGGACCATCGCCCTGGAGGAGGATGGCAGCCCGGGCTCCGGGGGGGGTGGGGCGTCGGCGGCGGCGGCGGCCGCGGCGGCGGCCGTGGCCGCGGCCAACGGCGAGGACGGCGGCCCGGCCGGCTCCGGGGACCCGGACGCCGGGGACCCGGCCGGCTCCGCCGGTGGCCCGGACGACGCGTCGACGCACCAGATGGCCAGCGCGGCCTTCCGCATGTCGATGCAGATCGGCACGTCGCTGCGGCATCTGCAGGACGTGGTCAGCAGCGTGGCCGCCCACACGCACTCCCTCCGGCACCAGGACCTGGATCGGCAGCGGGACCGCCTGCGCCGGCAGATGCGTCTGTCCGGCGGCGGGGGGGGCCCCGGCGCGGGGCCGGCGGCAGATGCCGGCGTCCCCCGACCTGCATGGTAGCCGGCCTGTGTGCATGTGCGCGTGGGTGTGTATGCGCAGATGTGCGCGCCGCCGTGCGGCCACGCGCGTGTATCTTTGTGCGTGTCTGTGCGGCCGAATGCCGGCGCGCGTGTGGCCCTCCTGCTCGGAGGGGCCCGGGGGCCGTGCATGCCACGCCAAAAGCGCCACGCCCTGCCCCGCCGCCTGCACTGTGTCAATACACGACCCGTTTCTTTTGCCCCCCTTTCCTCCCTCCCCCCTCGGTTGTGGCTCGTCCGCCGGGGATGCCCGTGCCGCCCTGCTCGGACCGATTGGGCGAAGGCCAGGGCCGGGGCCCGACGGCGGTCTATTGCGGGCACCGGGCTGCTGGGGGGGCGGGGGGCGGGCGCTCGCGCGCCTGGCCGCATACACACCCTGCCAGGGGGGGGCGGGGGGCGTCAGAAGGGCCAGCCGTCGGTCCACCGGAGTGCCAGGTACCCGTCCGGGTGGCCGGTCATGCCGTACACGGTGGCCCGGCGGAGGAGGAACTCCCCGGCGGCCAGGATGGCCAGGTGCCCGACCGGCGGGCCGGTGCCCTGGAGAAGCTGGGCCACATGGCCGGCGGCCAGGGCCCCGAAGGCTGTGGCCGGCAGGAAGTGGTGCACATACATGACCCGGCCCACGGCCCAGAAGGGCAGGTAGTGTGCCAGCCAGCCGATGACGGCCACGGCCGGCCGGTACAGGCGGGCATAGGCCCCGCCGGGGGGGGCGCGGCCGAGGCGCGCGTCGGCCAGCGCCCCGGCCAGCAGGGCCCCGGCCAGCAGGGCGACGGCCATGGTGCCGCCGGCCCAGCAGGCCAGCGACCCGCCGAGCATCAGCCGCACATGGGCCTGCTTGGCGGCCGGGCCGGGGGCCGGGGCATCCGGCGCCGGGCCGGCCGGGCCGGCCAGCGGCCGCGTGGCCGCGATGTCCGAGTCGCCCGTCTCGTCGGCCGGGTCGGTGGGCAGGAGCCCGGCGTGCTCGGGCGGCAGGTGCTGCGGGTCCTCCTGGTGGGGGTGGTCGTGGTCGTCTTCCGGCCCGTCGTCCTCGGCATCCGGGCCGGCCCAGTGCGTGATGCGGATGGCGTGCAGGCCGAGCGGCCACTCCGCCGGCCGGGAGGTGATGCGGGTTCGGTCGCGCCGGGCGTGCACCATGCGCGGGCCGTCCAGCATGTCGGGGTGCACTTGCTCCAGGGCCCGGCGGAGGCCGGGCTGAGCGTCGGGCCCGGCTGCCGAGGTCCCGGCCGTCTGGGGGTCGGTCATGTCGGCGTTGGCGCGGGCCATGGCTCGATTCAGGTGGACGAAGGACCGCCAGAAGCCCGGAGGCCTGGCCGCCAAGGGCTGGCCTGTGACCGCGGCGCGCGGGGGGTGCCGGTGTCAGAGGGGGCGGGCTGCCGGGGCTCGGTGGCCTGGTGTGCCCATGCGGAGCGTGCAATGTGCCAGGGGGGCATGGGCAAGCGGGCACGGAAAAGAAAGCATGGGCAAGCGGGCATGGCCAAGAAAGCATGGGCAAGCGGGCATGGCCAAGAAAGCATGGGCAAGCGGGCATGGGCAAGAGCATATGGCCAAGAGGGCATGGCCAAGAGCATATGGCCAAGAAAGCATGGGCAAGAGCAAATGGCCAAGAGGGCACGGACAAGAGCATATGGCCAAGAGGGCATGGCAAAATGCACGCACCTGGCAGGGGGCCCCCGGGCGGGGGGTCGTCCTCGAAGCGGTGCATCTCCACGGACCAGGCCTCGGCCGACTCGGCGGCGGTGCCGGGCGCGGCGCAAAAGACGTACTTCTGCTCGAAGGCCCACTTGGGCAGCGACAGGGTCGAGGCCCTGGCAAACGGCGCGGCCAGGCCCGCGGGTGGCAAAGCGGCGCCGAGGCCGGCCGGCCGACCACCACCACCACCCCCGCCGGCATGGGGCAAGACCCGGGGTCAGTGTGCTGCGCTTGGGCGGCGGCGGGCGAGCGGGCAAACCGAAAAGGGAAAAAGGCTCAAGCCGGCGGCGGCGGCGGCGGCGGGAGGGCCGGCAAAAGCCACCGGCACGGCCGGCCGGCACGGGCGCGCCACACGCACCCGAGCAGGCACCGGTGCCGGCGGTTGCGCAAGGCAAAGCGCGTGTCCAGCGGCCGGATGTCCAGCGGCGCGGATCCCCGGGGGCCGGGGAGGGCGATCACCTCCCACAGGTCGGCGCCGAAGCCGGCCTCGGCCGCGAGCCCGGCCCCGGGCCCCGGCAGGGCCGACACCCGGAGGTGCCCCGGCTGGAGGCCGGGCCCGGCGGTGGCCGCGGCCAGGGCCGTCAGCCGGGCCCCGGTGGCTCGGTGCTCCAGGCGCACGACCGAACCGGGGCCGAGGCTGGCCCCGGCCGGGGGCCGGGCCCCGGGCCCCGGCAGGGCCGCCACCAGCCAGTGGTTGTTGACGTCGTGGAATTGGTAGCCGGTCACCTGCTGGTGGGGCCCGGGCAGGTCGGGCCAGCGGTCGCGGTGCGAGTGCAGCAGCCCGCCGGAGGCCGCGTGGCGCAGGGTGACCATGGACCGGGCGGCGGGGCTGGCGCCCGGCGGCCCGGGGTGGCCCCGGACCGGCGCATCCCACCGGGTGGAGTGCGTGGCCAGGTAATTCCCGGCCAGGGCGGCCTGGAAGTCGGCCGGCATGATGCTGTCCCCGGGGCCGGAGGTGCCCAGCACCCGGAAGTGCCAGGCGAAGGAGGCGCAGTACACGGCCCAGGGCCCGGCGGCCTGCAGCGCCAGGAGGCCGAGCTCGCGGGCCAGGCGCCGGGCCAGCGGCCGGGGCCCGGCGCGCCGCCGGCCGGTCCGCCCGGCCCCGCAGGCCAGAGCCCCGCGCAGCCGGGCCAGCCCCACCCCGAGCCCGACCAGCCCGGACAGGCCGTACGCCCCGAGGCCCACCCACTTGACGCTCAGGGCCAGGCCATTGACGAGGGCCAGGATGAGGGCGCGGGCCCAGGGGCCGGGCCGCGGCCGGGCCATGCGCCCGTTGGCGTACCACACGGTGGCCAGCAGCGACAGCCCGGTGAACAGGAAGAGCAGCGGGTCCAGAACCACCAGGCGGCTGAGCTGGACATTGGCCAGGTCTGGGCGATGTCGGCGGCCGGGCAGGCGGCGAGGGGCGGGAGGCGGTGCAGGGCGGGACACGGTCAGTCGGCGGCCTCGAGGGGTGGCAATGCCGCGGGGGGGGGGGGGGGGGGGGGGGGGGGGGGGGGGGGGGGGGGGGGGGGGGGGGGGGGGGGGGGGGGGGGGGGGGGGGGGGGGGGGGGGGGGGGGGGGGGGGGGGGGGGGGGGGGGGGGGGGGGGGGGGGGGGGGGGGGGGGGGGGGGGGGGGGGGGGGGGGGGGGGGGGGGGGGGGGGGGGGGGGGGGGGGGGGGGGGGGGGGGGGCGGGCAGCCGGCGCACCGAGGGCCACCAGCAGGCCGGCCAGGGCGCTGGGGCCGTGGGCCAGGCCGGACAGCCGGGCCGTGGCCGCGACACTGGTCGCGCCCAGGGCCCCGGCCAGCACCGAGGCCGACCGGAAGCACTCGATCGGCACGCCGGACCCCTGGTACGGCTGTGGTGTGTGTGGGGCGTCGATTGTTGCGAGTCGATCGGTGCGAGTTGATTGGTGCGAGTTGATTGGTGCGAGTTGGTTGGTGCGAGTTGATGCGCATATGGGTCGAGGCCAGTGGGTCAGCGTGTGCGAGGCGATGTGGGTGTGAAAGTGTGGGCGCGAGTCCCCCTCCCCCCGCCCCTCCCCTCTGCCTCCCCGCACTGCTTGTCCGCATTCACCCGACGGCAGCGGGCCAGAAGCGGCTGGCTCGCCGGGCCACGCACCGCGTTGGAGGCAAACTCGAAGGCCGCCACGCGGGACCACGCCTCGCCCGGGTGCCGGTCCAGGGCCACCGGGGCCCAGCCGCACACACGCGTGGCCCACGCATACAGCAGCATCTTCCCGAGCGGCGGATGCACGTCGAAGTGAAAGCGCCCGAGGGCGTAGTAGAGGGCGAACTTGCCGAAGTGCGCCTCGTCCCAGCTTCGGGCCGGGACCGACAGCGGAAGGCGGCCGGCCAGCGGGCCGGGGGCAAGGCCGGCGCGAAGGAGCCACCGGCCAGCCCACACCCGGCGGCACCATCAGCGAGGAGGTCAGTCAGCGGGTGGCATCTTGCCAGGGAGGCGCGGCGCGAGTGCCGGAGCTGGCCACATACGTCACGACACCGGAGGCGCCCAGGCGCCACAGACGCACGCCGGCCGCCAGCAGCAGGACCGCCGCCAGCAGCAGGGCGTCCGCCAGCCGGGGCCAGCGCCGGCCAAGGCCCACCAGGCCGCCCTCGAGGGCGCCCATCGTCTCAGCAGGTCGGCCGACCGGTGGCAGGCCGGGATGGCAGCCCGGGGGGGGGGGGCGGCGGTGACGCGCCGAGCCGAGCGACGGCCGCGCGAGGACGGGCGAAAAAAAAAGCACACAGGCCAGGCCCGAGGGGGGGAAAAGGGGCGCGGGGGAGGGGCGGCGCAGGGCAAGGGAATACCGTGGACAGTGAGCGGAACGGGGCGAGGCGGGCCAGAGGAGAGGCGGCTTGTACGGGGCCGGGCCGCGCGTGCCCGACACGCCCGACGGCGGTCGCCCACAAAGGAGCCCACAACCGCCAGGACACCGACGAAGCCCACAACGGTTAACAAGGGCGCATGCGTCGGCAGCCCGGCACGACGCCGGGTGCCCACGCAGACCGCGCCGGTTCTGGGGCCCGGGTTAAGCCCGACGGCCCGGCGCCAGATCACGTCGGCACTCGCGGGCCGGGCCTGTCCGCGCCCGATCGGCCCGGCGCCCGGGAGTCTGGTACACGAGAGCGGCGGCGGCCTCGGGGGGGGGGGGGGGGCGGGTTCTTCTCGCCGGCGACGGCGCCCTCTGGGCCGGGCGGGCCGGGCGCTAGTCCGCGCCGCGGATCGGGCTCGGTCCGGCTTCTCTCCCCCGCTGTGGCCGTCTGCCCCCGGGGCCGGGGGAGGCTGTTCGTTCGGCCGGCCAGGGCGGCGGAGCGAAGGGCACCGGGGGCGATCCGCGGGACTGTGGCCGGGGCCGCGCCTCGCCACCGGCCGGGGCTCGCATGTTAAACACACCCCGAGAGGGGGTGCCCTGGGCGCCGGGGCGCGCGCGCGCCGCCCGGGGCATCCCACTCCTCCGGCCTGTCCCTCCGCCCCCTTCTCGCTTCCTCTCTCTCTCTCTCTCTCTGCCGCTGCTGTCTTGCCGCGCGCGTACACACCCGCATACACGCATCCGCACCTTTCCCCCCTCCCCCCTCTCTCCGAAGGGCTCGCTCCGGCCCCTGCGTCACAGCCCGCACACGGACCCGCCCCCGCGCACGCGCGCGCGCACGCACGCACGCACACACACACACACACCCACACACACACACACTCGCACGCAGGCATGACATCCACCGAGGTGGAGGCCCTGCTGCGCGAGCGCGATCGCCAGGCCCGGCAGCTGAATGTCCTGCGGTCGCACATCCTCGAGCGCGAGGAGGCCACCACGCGCGAGCTGGTGGCCCTGCGGGACGAGGTCGCCCGGCTGCAGGCGGACAATGACCGCCTGGCGGCCGATGCGGCGTCCAGCTCCATCAAGCTGTCGCTGACGGCCAGCCCGCCAGGCAGCCCGGGGCTGGCCGGGACCGGGGCCAGCGGCGGGTCGGCCTCCGGGCAGCCGGCGTCGCCGGTGGCCCCGGAGGGCCCGGCCCTCGATCTCATGTACGAGCTGGTGCCCTTCGATCGGTCGCACGGCGGGCACCTGGCCGGGTGGTTCGCGGCCGGCATGCCGGCCGGGCCGCTGGCCGCGCTGCACTCGACCCCGCTCGGGCGCAGCCTGCACCGGTGGATGGCCGATGCCCTGGCCAAGTCCGACATCCTGACCCGCCAGGTGGAAACCCTGCTGGGCGAGTCCCAGCGACAGATGCTGGCGGCCGAGGCGGCCCGCAAGGACCTGGTGGCCCGGCACCAGGCCCTGCTCCATGAGCAGTCCCTGACCCAGGACAACATCCAGGCGGCCATGGAAGCGCGCGAGGCCGAGCGTGCCATCGAAATCGAGCGCCTGGAGGGGCGCCTGGCGGACATGCAGGTGCGTGGGGCTGCGGCCGGCCCTGTGTATCCTTTGTGTGACTGGGCGGGGGGGTGGGGGGGGTGGGGGCTCTTTCTCTCTCTCTCTCTCTCTCGCGCGACGCCTCCTTTGGCCGTCTCCCGGGCCCCGGGCCGCCGGCGGCATTGTCTGACGCTCGCCCAGCGGGGCCGATCGACGGCCCGGGTGTTGCCTCCTCGCCGGGTGTTGCCTCCTGGCCGGCGCATGCCCCGCAGTTGGTGTTGTCCAAGCGCAACCACGACCTTTCGGAGAAGGACGACCTGATTTCCGAGCTGCAGCACCGGCTGGACCGGCTGGAGGCCGATGCGGCGGCTCTCGCCCCGGCGGCCGGGGACCCGGAGCCGGGCCCCGGGCCCGGCGTCACGCCGCCCCCGGCCGTCGACATGCTGTCGCACTCCTTCCTGCGGCGGCTGTACCCGGATGCGGCCGAGCGTGGCCTCCAGGACCGGTACGCATCCGTGCGCGGATGTGCCTCCCCTGGCGCGTTCGCGCGCGCGTGCACACGCAAATGCCCCTGCTCATGGATCCATGCGGCCATGTGTCGGCCAAGAGGGGCATGCCCAACACTAACACGCACGCACGCACGCACGCACGCACACACGCACGCACGCACGCACGCACGCACGCACGCACGCACGCACGCACGCACGCACGCACACACGCAGGCTCCTGGTCCTGCGCGACTTGGTCATCGAATACCTCCTGCTCACCGGCCAGGACTTCTTCCCGCGATATGGCACAGCCGGGGGAGTCCTGCCGTTGAGCCCGGCCGACCCGACGGCCGTCAGTCTGGACCACCTGCGCCTGGACCATCTCTCGGAGGAGGAGCGCCTGCGCCGGGGCCGGCACCGGATGCGCGCCATCGCCGACCAGCTGGACCTCTCGGCCACCGAGCGCGAGTTGCTCTTCCTCCGGGCACCGCCGGGTGGCCCTGCGCCGGCCCAGTGCCGCACGGCCCTGGCCCTGGTGGCCGGCATGGAGCACACGTGCGAGGCGCCCGAGGCCGGCGCCGGTAGCAGCCCACCCCCGGGGGCCGGCTGCGTGCGGTGCCATTTTGCCGCGCACCCGGACCTGTATGCGGCCTCCTGTGTGGACCCCCAGTGCCCGGCATGCTACCCGGCCGGGGATGTGGGGGCCCTGCGGCCGGCCCCACGGCCGGCCGGGCCGGGCACCGACGCCGGGACCCGGCCAGGGCCCGACCGGGCGCCAGGCGTCGCGGCCGATCGGCCCCTCGGCGGCCGAGCCCCCTCCGGCGCCGGGCCGTCGGCTGCCGACCCCGGGCTCGCCGGGGCCGGAGCCGCCACCGGCGGGCGCTTTGGCTTCCTCCGGCGGTGGCTCCCCTGGTCGTCGGGGCCGGCCGCCGGGGACGCCGCCCCGCGCGAACCCTCCATGGCCGAGCAGTGGGTGCACTTCCTGCTGCAGGAGGTGGAGAAGACCGAGCTCCAGCAGGCCGGGACGCCGGCCGGGCCCGGGCCCGCCGACGGCGGGACGCCCCCGAAGCCCGCCATCCCGCCGGCGTGAAAGGCCGGCCCCGGGCGCGGTCGTACTTGCGCGCGCACACGCGCGTCGCGCCGCGCGCCCTGGGGAGAAAAATAAACCCGCTTGCAGGAGGATGGCTTGTGCCGCGCCAGGTGCCAACGGATCGCCTCCCGGGCGCGATCGTTGTTGTTGTTGTTGTTGTTGCGGTCGTTGTCGCCCGGCTGCTCCCGGCGCC